AATCTGTTCCACTGTCTGAATGAACTTAATGATGCTTCTCTAGTGGAGGACATCCAACAGTCTCTGAGGACAGGACGTCTCTCCACAGATGAACTGTCTCCTGCTCAGTGGTCAGCTCTGGCCTTCATCTTACTGTCATCAGAAAAAGTTCTGGATCATTTTGACCCAAAAGAATATTCTACTGACCTGTGTAATATTGAGAGGCTGCTGCCAGTGGTTAAAGTCTCCAGAAATGCTGAGTAAGTACAGACATTGTATAAAATAGTGCTGAAATGGTTTTTTGTTCATAGAGAGCTGAGGGATACTTGTAATAACAACATAATAAGAGGGGGACAATTGGACATGGATGTCTCCACCCTGTTTAACAACAGTTGGTCTCTCTCCATAAAGGTGGCTTCTTTACTCCTCCCTCAAACCTAAAAATGTTGTGGTTGGAGTCAATCTGAAGGGCATGGCCATCTATGAACAAGCAGAGGAGCAGCTTCGTTTTCATTGTACCCACAGTAAAATGCAGTCATGTCAGCCAATTATTACTATCCTGATACTCTGGTTCTGTTGTAGCACATCTGCATAAGTTAATAAGATTAGTTCAGCAGGTTACTGCTGGTCTTGTATGATCTTGTTTCTGTGAGGAAGTAGTTTCATTTCCTATATTTATCCTGAAAAGTCCAATGTTTTTTCAATAAGATCATTTCTCAGAGCATATAAGTCACTATCAGTGACACGTGGAGTTTTACATGTCAGTATGAGAGAGATGCTGTTGTTGTTATTGTTACTTTCCTCTTCAGTTCATGTTAGTTCATGTTGAGCATCAGATTACTGGTCAGTTTCTGCTTCTCAGCGTGGACGACAAGTCTCTAGATGTCTTAGCAGATCTGGGGAACAGGCCATACTATGAGCTGAGCCGGCTGACCTTTAAGGTCAGTGGCAAAGAAATTATTGAGGCCAAGTAGTGAATCCTATCCTACCTCCCAGTTTGTAGCTGTGGGGATGATGGGATTCATTCAGATTAACTTACATCACTGTAAAGATGCCAGTACATTGTTGTGTACTTGCCTTAGCAGGATGCATACAGGCATAGCCTTCATCCAAGAACCTTGGATTGTAAAATCTATGGTAAAAGGCCTGGGATTCCCTGGGGGCTCACTTCTTTATGATGTGAGCAGCCAAAGGCCCAGAGCAACAGTAGCCCTGACAAGAGGGGTAAGACACACTGCACTGCCCCATCTAACAGCAGGTGATGCTGTAGCAGTGCAGTTGGATATTCAGTAGTGATGTGACGTTCACGAACAATCCGGTTCCTTTGAACAGCGCTTTACATTGAACGATAGGACTGAAGTGTCAAATTAATAAGAGCCGTTCTTTTTTCTTTTTCTTTTTTAAGAGGAACCCATCCAGGATAGCGGCCGCCGGCCACACTGAAGTGTTAGCTCTAATTTCAGGTCACCGTTGTAAAAGAGATCCTGATCTCACTGGGTTTTCTACCTGGTTAAATAAAGGTTACTGATGATAGGCAGTGGCACAGTGCCACTCCACGGGCGTCTATGTATATGATGTCTGTGCACTCTATGAAAACACAAAGAGGGAGRACGTCACTGTGTGCACTCACTCACTCAACCTGGCAGCGCAGCTTGCAGGGGAGAGGAGTCTGACAGTGTGTGCTGAATGATTGCTCGATGACGGTACAATGAGTGGCGCAACAAAAAAGAAAAGCAACATCTGGCTGCATTTTTCTCTTGATACGAGCGGTAAAGCAAAGTGCGACATATGCAAAAAGCTAATTTCATACAAGTCTGGATCAACAAATAATTTGCATCACCATTTAAAGACGCAGCATCCTACAATAATAACTCAAACTGTAAGACAGGAGCCTGATTCAGAAATACAAAACAGTGAAATTTATGAAACAGTGCCACCATCGTCTTCTACATCTGCTCAAACTTCAACATGTGATGAAAGTGCTTCCTCTGCTGGAAAKAGAGAAAGGGAAACAAGACAAACAACTCTTCGTCAGTACAGGTTTGTAACACCTGGATTAACTCCACTTACGCAGTGTTAAATACATGAGGAAATTACAAAAGTGATTGCAAGTGATTTTCAGCCTTCCAGCATTGTGGAAGGCAGAGGGTTTAGACGTGTTTACTATGCTCTGAACCCAAACTACATTATCCCAAGTAGGAGAACCATAACACAAAACGTATCACAGTTATATGAAAGAGAAGCTGCAATACTTAAAGTAAAAGTGTCCAAAGCATCAGCAGTTTGTCTCACAACAGATTGCTGGACATCTCAGACGACCACATCATTTATGTCAGTGACGTGCCATTTTATTGACAATTTTAGCATGTCCTCTAGTTTACCAGACTGCTTTGAGTTTACCGAGTGCCACACAGCAGACAACTTAGAGAGTAAGCTTGTTAGTGTCGCAGCAGAGTGGGGTGTGGATAAAAAAGTTGTGTGCTGCATTTCAGACAACGCTGCTAACATAAGTAAGGCAATCCAGGAAACCGAGTGGGGCCACCTCCCCTGCCTGGCCCACACTGTTAACCTTGTTGTTAAAGATTCACTCAAAGGGGCRCAGCCACTGATTGAAAAGGTGAGGGGAGCAGTCCAGTATTTCCACATAAGCACRGTGGGTGCACAAAGGCTTAAGGAAACTCAGATCCAAATGAAGAGAAGAACAACGACCTAAAAACAACATTGCCACTCGGTGGAACTCAACGTATTACATGCTGCAAAGTTTTTGACATATAAAGATCCTATTGTTTCCACCCTGGCCGTCACAAATGCACCTGTCCAGCCTTTATCCCAAGAAGAATGGGCTGTAGTGGAGGAGATGTGCACCRCCCTCAAGCCCTTTGAAGAGGTCACTGTTGAACTTAGTGCAGAAAGGTATGGTACATACACATAAAAAATAAATATTGCAATTGTTAACTTTTCCAGTTATTCCAGTTAAATAACTATATTTTATCACATTAGATGTATTTTTTCCTTTTTTTTCTTAATAGCTATGTCACTGCCTCCAAGATTTTACTTCTGGCCARGAGACTGCAGAGAGCCACATCAGATTTTCTGAGAAGAGCAACTACACCTATAGCAAAAGACATTGTGAAGTCTCTTTGTTCAAGCATGGCAACAAGATTCCACAAAATGGAACACCACAACTTGTTTGYCGATGCAGCGGCACTTGACCCTAGATTTAAGAGAATGACATTCACAGATCCTAGAGCTGCAGATGAGACTTACCAAAGATTATCAAATGCAGCAGTAAGACTACCTCTCAGCAGCAATGAGCCCACACAGGAAGAGGTCCAAGAGGAAGGAGCAGGCAGTGCAGCACAGAAATCTGTTGTTTGGAGCTTCTTCAATGAACAAGTAAGTATATAGTGAATGTACAGTACATACAACATACATTTATTGGTTATCATTCTCTTACAATAATCTCATTAAAATTGTGTTCAGGTTGCAGGAACGGAGACAACCAGGAATCCGACGTCAGATGCCATCATGGAGATGCGAGCTTTGGAGCCTCTACTTCCAAAAACTGAATATCCTCTCAAGTGGTGGCAAAGTCGGGCCCTTGTGTACCCCAGGCTTAGCAAGCTCATGGCTAAGAAGCTTTGTGTTGTTGTAACGTCTGTCCAATCTGAGAGAATATTCTCCAAGACTGGTCAAATTTCCTCTGAGAGAAGATGTCGCCTTAAACCTGAARAAGTCAGACAACTTGTCTTTCTCAATGCAAATTTGCCAAATGATGAGGTGAAACAGAAGAAAGCCTAAAGCAATACTCCCTATTTAGTTCAGGGCATTTTTGTTTGAATGTTTGCAGCACACTTTTGTTTGGTTAATGTTTACAGTTAAAGCTGCAGTCTGTAACTTTTAAAAATATGTATTTTAGACATATTTGTTAAAACTGTCACTATGTCCTGACAGATTGATAGTAGACAGATAATCTCTATGCCCCTCCCGGTGGTCCTCCTGCCCTCTGTTAAAATCTCCTCGACCCGAGGACCGAACATCCAGTCTAAACCGAGGTTTGTCTGATGAACGAGCTGCTCATGCCCATCCCCCCATCCCTCCCTGCACAGCGTGCAGCCGAGCACGTTCTCATTCAAAAAGCAGTGTGGAGCAGCTCAGCTGTGTGTCTATGGTGGAGAAAGAAACTGCAACTTTTCCAGGATCAAACATTCCTGTAAAACTTCCAATTCCCCGATTGGAGCCTGTTCTGAAACCAACACAGGGAAACAGAAGAAGACCCAGGAAGAAATCCAAGTTGAAAAGAAAGAATTAGATCGAGTCCGGAAAAAAACCAGGGTGGAGGGAGCGAGCTATTTCTGCAGAGTTAGCCATTTCTGCTTAACTAGTAAGTATCTCTGCTTCATTCTTTTTGTTTTTAATAATGTTATTAAAAATAAAAAGCATATAGAGCTATAGCATGCTGTAGCAACAAAGTTAGCGATGGTTACAGAACCACCAGTGATGTGATATGATATTATAACAGGTTATGTTATGATAAATGCTAACGTTAGCAGCTAACTCGTTTAGCCTCAGTAAGCTACTGTTCATATTTACCTACATATAGTTATCTTGACGTATTCTGTCATGGATCAGGATTAAAAGCAGTTAGATGTGGTGAAATTACTGTAACTGTTCACTGCCTCTGTCGAAAATAAAAGTAAATAAAATACAATGATGCCTGATCAACATTAGCACTTAGCTAATCAGGCCTGCTGTTAGTACTGGCTGAATGCACTCATGTTTGTATTTAGTGTTATTCACATTTGATTTTTAACAACAGCTCAGCATTAAAACGTGTGTTAGTTCTACAGAATATATGCTGTTGCTGATTACTTTTTGTTTAGAAATATAGAAGTTGTTTAGACTCAGCAGCTGTGGTCACTTACAAAAAATAAATAAAAAAGAAACTGTCATGTTGGAACTGAAATGATGTTTTAGTTTATTTTTCACAGTTTATTTTATCATCACAATAATAATCAGTTATTGCACATCACAGACAAGTTTTCCAGATATTTTGCTGCCAAAATTTTTTCTTCCACCTCAGGATGTAATCCTTTGTGATGAAAATATCTAAAACATCTTGTAATTTATGCTCTTTCAACAGATCAGAAACTGTCCCAGACACACAGGAATATGGAGGAATCATCTTTCAACAATAATGTATTTACCTGTGCAAATAAATAACAGATTTATTTCACCCATATGTCAAATAAACCATATATTTAATAATCCTGTGAAGTTAATTGTGCCTATATATCTGGTAAATCTTTAAAAACTTTTCTTTTTTACTAGACAAAGTTATTTTATGTCTCATCACATACCGGACATGTTTCAATATATTGCTTCAGGTATGTCTGAAGAGACATTAAAATAACACAGTGTCTATTTAAAAAGAAAAGTTTTTAAGAGCATATTTTTAAGATGTTTTTGTTTTGCATGTCTAGCACTGACCCAGTGATTTATCATGATTCCTAATGTAAGTTTGTGTTTTGTAACTGATCAAAAGATAATTCAGTAATGTTCAATGGTAAAGTGATGCTTTAGTTCTAATGAGCAGTTACCAAAAACTAAAACTATTTAACACTTTATTGAAGAATATTTACCAAACAAACGTAAAAAATGCAGCAGATAAAAGAATGGGGGAAGAGTGGGGTCAGTGAAAGTTGTCAGAGGTTTTATTTTCTCTCTCTAAAGCGGGAAACACCACATGGAGCGACACTAAGTAATTCAAGAAACTTTCAGCTCAGAAAACTGCCTGTCAATCTATGCACATGTTTTGCTCAAACTTGATGACTTCTCGACTGATCAGTCAATAATCTGGCCGACCTGTGGCTGAGAGCTGCTGGCTGATGTGGGAGAGCTGTGGGCAGAAAAGCTTTGTTCATGAGGAGAGATTTCCAGGCTGATGTTCTGTGTCTGTTAGTTACATCCAGAGGAGGAGGTGCGACAGCATTTCTTTTTATTTCTACTCTTTTCTAGCTCCACTTTGTGAAAACTCTGCCTGCTCCTCTAGCCTACTTCCATCTACTTGGAATCCACTTTGTAGCCAGCAGTCACCTGACTGCAGATAGTCGATGTGAAATTTAAAAACTCACCAGATCTCCTAGAGTCGACTAATCAAATTGTTGGTTCAACCCCAAGTTGAGATGCAGATGTCCTGCTGAGGTTCTCAGGACCTGAACCCACTCT